TATATCAATTTAACATATATATATATATATATTTATATATAATATGAATACTATATAATGAAAATATTATTTTATTTAAATTTTTATAAAAAATATTACATTAACTATATTGATTAAATAATATGTTAACACTTGTATTTGATTTTATTATACTTATATATATATATTTATATATATTATTTTTATTTTGATATGTAACTTTAAAAATATTGAATGTGTGACGATGCATGTAGTTGAGATTTTATGCATACGATGTGTTGATTTTTAGTGTTGTTCATATTCTATATACGTGAATTTGTTGTTAAATGACATGATTGTTAGTGTAAGTTAATATGTTATGATATGGTTAAATTGTTATCTTTTTAAAGTTATTGAGTATCGTGTTGAGGTGCTATGGTTGTGATGTTATGATGTAAGTCATGATGTTGTCGTGGTTGTGTGGTTTCCATTTTAGTGTTAGTTGTATAATTGTTTTACTTCTATACTTGTTATATGTTATTCTTTTGAATACTAGTTTATTCTTGCATGTTTTCTTATGCTTGGATTGCGATGGTCATATATTTATATAGGAGTACGTAGGATAAGGTTAGGCTAAAGACGTGCTTTTAAGGTCATGTTTGGCAATAGTTGTGGTAACATTTTTTTATTACTCTAATGTAGCTAGCTTAGATGTGTTACTTGATTGACAACTTAGAATTTTATTTAGTATTAGATTATTTTAAATATTAGATTATTTTAAATATTTATATACTTATATAGCATTATGCTTTCTTTTAATTATTGTAGAAATTTTACACGTATATATAATATTATGCATATATCTAAATATTGTATATATATTTATCTTAGGTATTAGACATTTTTCCGCTACCGATAATTGAACCGTTAAATGTAAGAATCTTTACACAAAATTAAATTTCCAAAAATAATTTTTTTACTTAAAAATATAAATTATATTTTTAAAATTCTAATGAGACTTTTCTTTAGTTGTCCTGTGAAACACAAAAACGAGAAGGATAAAACCACTCTCACCTGCCTTTTAGGGACTTGTTACTTTAGAATTGTCACTAGTTATATATTACTTGTGTTCTTATATATAAAATTTAATTACCTAATTCATCAAGATTAAGAAAAATAGGTGCCATATATAGTTGATAATAATAAATTTATCTATTTTTTTATTTTTATTTTTTAAAAAATATCCTTATACTATTTATCTTTCTTAATTAATAGTTGTATGTCTTCTAATCAATTATAGTGCATATCTTATACTATTTATCTTCCTTAATTAACACTCATATTTCTCTAACTAAATAAAGTTATTGTTCTTTAAAGAATTCATATTAATGCATTTTACTAGATTAAGGTAACACTTTAATTAACAATATTTTATTTTAAAAAAATTTAATATACAAGACAATATAAATTGAGTCTTATATAAAAGAACAAATAATTGTTCTAAATTAGGTTTTATAAATAGAAATAGAGGTAATATTTTATTTTTGTCTTATTTCTAATTGACGTGAGACTTGATTTTTTTTAATGCGCCTCTTTGTGCTCAACATGACTTTAGTTTTTATACATGCATTAAATCTAAAATTACTGGTGTGAGGGTGTATTAAGAAAAAAAAATTGCACTAACCTTCCTTAATTTTTTTTTAAATGACACACCTTCCATCTAGTTTTTAAGTAAATACTAACCTCCCTTATTTATTTATCTAAGTGACACATACAACTCCTTATATGAGATAACACCAATTGTGCATTATTATGAGAAAACAAATTATTAATACAAGTGTTTACATGAAACTTAATCTCTTACTCAACTTTAACTTCTAAATTTTACCCTAAATAGCATACATGTTGTGATTTCAAAAATATACCAAAGAATAATTTCAAATTGAGAAATTATTATTTTCAAAATTGAGGAATAATAAAATTTTTCATAAAAAAGATAAAATATTGCACATAACTCAGAAATAAAAGAATATACATGTATATGATTAACAGAATATAAATTGACTTTTATTTTTTTTATCTCTCACTTTAACCCAATGACAAAGGTAAGTGGTCTTTAAACAATAAAAGGATTGTGTATCATTTAAACAAATTTCAAAGGAAGTGAGTGCAATTTTCCCTAAAAAGTATCTAAGTTCCATGAGCCTATCCTAGATCCATTAGAAACCAATTTTGTAGGGTTGACTTAGACTCAAATTTATACATGGTATCATAGTTATCCTAAATCCATTAAAAATTGGTCAATTATTATATGAATGGGAATAGGCCTGACTTTAAACAAGGACCTATGATCTGATCTTTTTAAAGTTTGATCTAGCATGACCTATTTAATTAAAAGGCTATGTTTAAGCTTTTAAAAAAATCTATTCATTTAAAAAAGTTAAACTTAGACTTATTAAAAAAGTTTGTTAAGCTTGATAGACCAGTTTATTTACTATATAATATAATAATATATATTATTAATAATATAAATAAACAAATAATTGTATTAGTGTTAAATTGATTGAATTAAATAATTATGCCATCTTTTTAAATTACTAAATTTTGTTGTAGTTAAACCAATAATTTAAACGAGTATTATCATTGCTATTTTAATTTTTTTAAATAGGAGTTAGTTATTGAAAGTATGTCAAATAAGATAATTGAAATAATTAAGAAGTTTTTTTAATGAGATTATCCTCTTTCATGATAATCTGTATGTGAGTGGACATAAATGTATATGAGTTGTCATTTTAATAGAAAATAATTTAATTTATTCTCTTTGTGACATTGTATATGTACTTGGTACCTCTTAAATTACCTCATGTACCATAATTATATTTTTAGTTTTTAAATTATTATCATAACTATTTTAATTTGTTAAAATATGAGTTAATTATTTAGAATATACCAAATTAAATATAGGAAAAATTTAAAATGTTTTTTCATATATGATTATGCTTTTTTCATAGTAGATTTATAAGTTTATGGCATGTGCATGAGTGTACATCAACATATATGATTGTACATAAATTGTCCCTCTAATAGAAAATGGTTCATTTTTTTTCTCTTTGTGACATGTATATATTTAAAATTTTGAATTTTAATAATATTGAACAAACTATATTTTATCACACAAATTAAAAAATAGCTCACAATGACGTATTTAAGAATAAATTTGTTGACTTTTTTAAAATTAAATTTATTGATTTAATTAAAATTATTAATATAAAAAGATTTTTTTAAATAAGTTAATAGGTTAGGCTTTAAAATAATCAAGATAAGCCTAGAAAAAAAAAATCTATGATAAATAATATGTTAGATTTAACTTTAATTTTATAGAACAAGTTTGACCTATATATTCAAAGTCTTATCTAACATAACATATTCTTATCTCTATCTATGTACCAAACTCAATAATGTTAGACATAAAATAATGTATTGAATAAAAAAAATTGCTAGTAACACATTTTCTAAAAACAATTTTTTAATTAATTAAAATATATTAAAATATATATATAAAAGTTGAAAATTTTCACATTCTCTTAATGACTCTCTTTTAATTTTTATAATTTTTAATGAATTATAATCAATAAAAATAAATAAGTTAATATGAGTGAATTGTTAAAAAAACACAAGTCTCATGTGAAGGTTGAAACCAGCGAAACCCACTTGTAAGATATATAGTACGAAAAGTTATCGTAAATATATTAAATTACGACCACCTACCATTTTTAGATTCATTAAAAAAGTCATCAATTATTTATGCACTAAATTGATTTTATAGAATTGTGTTGAATACAAATTTACAATACACCCTGTTATCATGTTTCTATTAAAATTCATCTCTCCCTTTAAACTTAATTCGTCAAAGCCTATCATAGATAAAGATGTTGAAACCAACCTAAATTCATTGAAATCACGTATCAACGAATGCATATAATTCAATGCATTTTAAAAATAGAATATACTAATATAAAGCTTTTACCCCCTAAAATTTTACTTGAAAATGGAAGCTTCATTAAAAAGAATTCCAATGCATGTGAGAGGTGTGTTGGCATTTTGGATAACCTCATTAAAAAACCATTTTCGTGCTACTCGTTCTCTTTCATTAGCTTCAACCGTCAAGATCTTAACTCTATGCATTTTGTCATTGTCTTCACTACGTGGTTATCTCATTACACCACAATAAATTTTATATAAAATTCTATAATTAGTGTCATTTTAATCTCATTTTATCTAACTTTTATTCATAATTAATTAAAATTTATTAAAAATTATAAATATTATCCACATCTTATTTAATGATCAATTAATCTTCTTTGAAATTCATTAAAGTTTAAGATCACTAATAAGAAAGAATATAGAATATTACAGAATATCCTCAACATTGTTTTATTTTTGATATTGGTCACTTCTTCCCCCAACTTATGCAAGGTATGTATATGAGTTGTGTTAAATTAAATCTGAGAACATTGTTGACAACATTTGTGTTTGATATATCCTATCTTGTTTCATTAACAAAAGAAGCACGTAACGGAAGATTTTCCTCGGACGTGTAAGGCTTGAATGCATTGTAGTGTACGTGTTGGATTTGAAGAAGGACACGTGTCCTGTTTTTGAGGGCCGACAAAATGAACGGTGGTAAAAAAGTTGTGATTTATGAAGCGCCTTACAAAAACAACACGTATTGTACAAACTTGACTAGATGCCACGTCACTGGACCCCACATTTCAGAAGATATTATGAGATCCAACTCAAGCTGACTCAGTCATGACAATAAATCACCCAACGTGGGTCACCACAAATCAAATTCTCTCACATTTCATTTTATAAAATATATGTATATATATAAGAAGAATTAATCTTTCACTTCAAAAATATATTAAAAATTAAATATTAAATTTATAAATAATTTTAATTATTTATATATTATATGATAATATTATATTTTTACTTTCATATTTTAAATATATATAAATGTATATTACTATCTTTTTAAAAGAAGAACTATCTTTTATTTAAGTTGAAAATGTTAACAGTGTAATGTTATTAATTTCCTATTAATTATTTTTTATACACAAAATATTAATTTTAAGATCTTATTTAAGAAAAAAATAGACTTGTAACATTTGAATTAATTATTTGTTGATTGTTATCATTTTATTTACTGTCATCAATTATAGATTAATTAATTTTATCTTATAAATTGAATTGACTAAACTGTCTTGAATTTAAAATTCACTAGCTAATTAAAGCATCAAAATTTATTTAAAACAGTGAGAAATTTAAAATTTTTGTTTTTTTTTCTCTTCAAACATTAATTATTTTCACACGCATCTTATAAGATCATTTAAATTTAATCAAGTTTTTACTGAATTTCTTCCATCTAAACTTTTAAGACTATTTCATATTTCAATTCAATCATAAGTTCCTAAATTCTCTATAAAAAAAATCCTTAATATATAGACAAAAAAAAATGGTGCGAGAGTTTTAAGCACAAAAAATCTGATGATAAAACTAAATTCATTTCATTTTAAAAATAAAGGTAGTTGATTTGGTAAACCAAACGTATTTTTTAATCTATATAAAATATTAGAAAAACAACAATAAAAATTAAACTTAATTCTTCACATATATGTCTAACGCTAAACCAACCCTAATAGTAAAAACAAACCTACTCATAATTTTGAATTATAGATACGTTATCATAGGTGAGATTGAATCTATGTTGATCTACCTTCTCTTATGTAACAATCAAAGTCACCCAACCAACTAATGAGGGTCTTTCCATGGGATTGTTTTGTCCTCTTCGAGGTTGCCAACTAGGGTGATACTTTCTCTCTCTATCCAATGTTTTAAAATGTTGGGTCGCTTTTAACTTGGTGGAAAATACTAGTTATTTAGGTTAAAGTGAGGATTAAAGGTGGATAAACATGTGTTGTCCTCAAGACTGAAAACAAGAAAATGAAATGAAAAGCAAGATTTTCAGTGAAGGACTTGTGAACTCCCAATTCTCAGGCAAGGACTCTCCGGCCAGCTATAAATAGCAACATTTCCACAACCATGCCACACCACCACCTCTTCCTTTTTTTCTTCATCAAACTCTTTTCTTTCTTATATTCATATTTCCCTTTCACTTTCTCCAAATTCTTCCACTCAACATGACTATCCTCATTGAGCAACCTGATCACCTTGGTAATTAGTTTTGTAATCTTCCATTTTTTTTTTTACCAAAATATATTGTTACTGTTTTTCTCTATGAGTTATAGAGAAAGTTCTATATATATTTTAGTGGAATCTTTGTAATTATCCATCTAATGGCTAAAAACCAAAAAATAGTAAAAAGGTCCCTGCAATGTTTATAGTTTCTTTTAATGAATTCTTTTGTACCATTGTGTTAAGATAGTAATTGGTGCAAATTAAATCTGTCCTTTTTCACACTTTTTGACTTGGAAGAGGAAAATGTGTGGTTCTTAAAATTGCAGGGGATGAAGTAGAGGCAAAGACAGCACCAATAGATGAGAGGGAACTGGTGTTGGATGGTGGATTTGTGATACCACAGACCAACTCATTTGGGCACATGTTTAGGTTTCAATCTCCATAACCATTATATATTAATTTTCTCCATTTTTTCTTATCCAAAAGTATATATAAGGACAAATGGACTCGCATATTTTAACTTTTCTATAATTTTGTTTACGTTGATTAATTTGGGTGTTATTAAGCGTGTTTGGATGCACGTTACGAACACGTTTAATCAAAAGTTATTAGTTATAATTTTCACTGTTCTTCTCCTTTTTGATTAGTGATGAGTATGGAGGTATCTTGGTATAATCCGCGATGAGTTATAGCCAAACGGAAGAAGAAAAAATTTTCATGTTAAAGTAAAAAACAAAATAGAAACATTAATTTCTTCTAATCCTTCACTTGAATTTTCACGTACTTTTCCTTTCACTTTCAGCTTCTTTTGAGATTTTAAGCCTTTTTGTTTTATTTTACTTTTGTGATGGAAAAAGCATTTAATTTCACAATTGATAATGGGAATTCATTCTTTTCGTTTTGACTTATCGTCGTCGGAATTTATCAATATCATTACAAAATGAGTTTTTTTTTTCGAACAAAAGGAGCGCTGTCCATTCTCCTGATGGGCTTGAATCAAATTTGAGCCAGGCCCATGAATTATCCGCCCATCACCTCCACTCAATTTCTTTAAAAAAAATGTTATATAATATAACGAAAAAGAAAGGAATTTGAAGTATTATTCAATATTAGATTTCAATTATGCTATCACGAGAGTAATATACCACGACCCGTAAACTATGTTTACGGATAAAATAATCACATTTAGGTTCTTCAAACCTTTTCTATTAAAAGTGCTAGTAAACTAAACAATTAGAGCTAGTAATCTATTTCCACAATATTTGGTAAAAAAAAAAAAAAATACTACTTGTTATTTCAATCGCCTATTTTAACTCCGGATTACTAAAATTGTAAAAATGAAAAATGAATAGATCCTCTAGTTCTCTATGTTCATTCATTTAAACGCTACTAGAACCGTCTTATGAGTAATAAACTATTGTAAAACAGGGCTTATGATGCTGAAAGTGAAAGACAACAAGGAGTGGAGAACTTCTACAGAAAAAACCACACTTACCAATCAGTTGATTTTGTAAGCATCTAACACAAATTGCATATACTATCAATATCATATCAATTTGAACATATTTTTAAAATTATAAAGGTGTGAAACATGGAATTAATCTGAACATTATAATATGTCTACCCAGGTGAAGAAAATGAGAGACGAGTATGCAAAATTGAACAGAGTAGAGATGAGCATATGGGAATGTTGTGAACTCCTTAATGAAGTGGTGGATGAAAGTGACCCTGACTTGGAAGAACCTCAAATTGAGCACTTGCTCCAAACAGCTGAAGCTATAAGGAGGGACTACCCTAACGAAGATTGGTTGCACTTAACTGGCCTTATTCATGGTACTTTCTACATTCTAATGACCCTTTTACATACATTGCTCCCTACACTTAAAAGATGTCCTCTTTGAAGATCCTTCTAAAATGATATTATTTTGTATTTTTGGTTTATTATGGACCCTTGGAAAGGAAAGAGAGGAAATTACTTGAAAACTTCCACTTCTCATATCACAAGTTTGGTTCAATGCAGATCTTGGCAAGGTGATAAACTTACCTAGTTTTGGAGGACTTCCTCAATGGGCTGTTGTAGGTAAGTGTGATGTTTATAAAGAATGATGCTTATGATTAAAATGTTATACCTAATTCCTTCTTCGCAATTTCTAGTAAAAGCATTAATTAATCTTTAATATTTACTATGCTCTTACAGGGGACACATTCCCAGTTGGTTGTAGATTTGATGAATCCATTGTTCACCACAAGGTAAATCTATCAAATCACTTTCTTTTTTGGGTGGAAAACAAACAATTAATTGAAATTAAACAACACCTGACATATGTTGCTTTCCCACTTCAGTATTTTAAGGAAAATCCAGACTACAACAATCCATCATACAACACTAAATATGGGATTTATTCCGAGAAATGTGGACTTGACAATGTGATGATGTCATGGGGACATGATGACTACATGTATCTAGTAAGTCTAAAATATATATATATATATATATTTTATGTAGGATATTTAATGTTATTATTTCATAAATTGTGAAGTAAATGTCTGAACTTTGGGTGTTGTAATTAGGTGGCAAAGAAGAATAATACTACACTGCCCTCTGCTGCTTTGTTCATCATAAGATACCATTCATTCTATGGTAAGTCCAACTTAGGACTTAGGAGCAAAAATTCCCTTATCCAACACATAATTAATTATAGGCTCATAACTAATCAAATTGGTCCATTTACAATCTTATTTTATCCACTTATTTGTTTTGCAGCATTACACAGGGAAGGAGCCTATAAGCACTTGATGAATGATGAGGATGTTGAGAATCTGAAATGGCTCCATATTTTCAAGTAACACTACATTTTTTTTGGTTAATTAAATATATAGGTGAATGGTGATCAGCTATTAAGTATGCAAATATTTGTTAATGCTTTCTCTAACTTTGTTCTACATGTACATGCAGCAAATATGACCTTTACAGCAAGAGCAACGTTCGAATTGATGCTGAAAGGGTCAAACCATACTATCTCTCCCTCATTGAAAAGGTTAGTACCCTCTGAAGACTTCCATTACTTTTTTCTTCTGATTGAAATTTTTTTCATTTGTTGTGTCTTTCTTTGTTGCAGTACTTCCCTGCAAAGCTGAAGTGGTGAAAAGTTACTAGGAGCCATATGAAGTACAAATAATTTACCATGAAAGCCAACTAGTTTGGAGTAGAGGGAATAATAAGCTATGAAGATGTGTTTCACATTAATTAATTTATGTGTTTATTTTTCGCTTTATAAAATTTAGGGGTGGCATGTGCTTCAGTTCAAAGCTAAGGGCATTTTGGTCTCACAGAGAGCTTACAAATGTACTAATATTTACATCAATCCAAAAAGATGAGTGTGAGCTCCAACATAGATCTTGTCATATGCGAGATTCTGTTTGATTATACCCGATCATTTCCTTGAGATTAATTAATTTATATGCTTTTGTGGTACAAGATTCTTCTATTAAATAATATTCATAGAATCATAGTTAAACTCTTATCTGAATTATTATTATTATTGTTCTCTTTCCCCTAACCCAAGGATAATATAACCTGGCCGATCATGGCATTTTCTATTAACCCAAAACGAAGTAATAAATAAAGGCATTTTATGTACAAGTATTTTAAAATATTCATATATTTAATAAAAATAAATATATAATTTTACTTAAAATGATACATTTTCATAAAGAGACTATTATACAACCAATTACTTATTAAATAAAGAGAAATGTATTAGTTAAGCGCATTTTTGTCAAAATAATAATTAATAAGAAAGACATTTTATATTGGTTCTTTATATATATATATATATATATATATATATAGGGAGAGAGGAGAGCTTTGTTTATTTCAGGAATAAGTCTGTCTTAAACTTATTTTGTTCAATAACTATGTTCTATATCAATTTTCAATGTTTCTATCGTTGAATTTAAAATTCTTAATGCACAGATCAATTTGA